TTACATTCATATTGTAATAAACTGACCAAATCCTATGTATTTCTTACATGACTTAACCTAATCTCATTTAATATAATCTAACCGAATCCAGCAGTATTAAAAACGTCAAATTGGCAAGTGAGATTTCATTGATATTGTAATAAACTGACCAAATTTTTTGTATTTCTTACATGACTTAACCTAATCTTACCTATCCACACAACCTAACCTAATTCAGCAGTATTAGAAATGTTAAATTGACAAGTGCCATTATTTTTTCATATTACATTCATATTGTAATAAACTGACCAATTCCTATGTATTTCTTACATGACTTAACCTAACCTTACCTATTGACACATCCTAACCAAATTCAGCAGTATTGGAAAGGTCAAATTGACAAGTGCCATTATTTTTTCATATTACATTCATATTGTAATAAACTGACCAAATTCTTTGTATTTCTTAAATGACTTAACCTAAAATTACCTATCCACACAACCTAACCTAATTCAACAGTATTGGAAAGGTCAAATTGACAAGTACCATTATTTTTTCATATTACATTCATATTGTAATAAAGTGACCAAATCCTATGTATTTCTTACATGCCTTAACCTAACCTTACCTATCCACATAACTTAACCTAATTCAGCAGTATTAAAAATGTCGAATTGACAAATGACATTATTTTTTCATATTACATTCATATTGTATAAACTGACCAAATCCTATATATTTCTTACATGACTTAACCTAACCTTACCTATCCACACAACTTAACCTAATTCAGCAGTATTAGAAATGTCGAATTGACAAGTGACATTATTTTTTTATATTACATTCATACTGTAATAAACTAACCAAATCCTATGTATTTCTTACATGCCTTAACCTAACCTTACCTATCCACATAACTTAACCTAATTCAGCAGTATTAGAAATGTTAAATTGACAAGTGCCATTATTTTTTCATATTACATTCATATTGTATAAACTGACCAAATCCTATGTATTTCTTACATGACGTAACCTAACCTTACCTATTGACACAACCTAACCTAATTTAGCAGTATTGGAAAGGTCAAATTTACAAGTGACATTATTTTTTTCATATTACATTCATATTGTAATAAACTGACCAAATATTTTGTATTTCTTACATAACTTAACCTAACCTTACCTATCCACACAACCTAACCTAATTCAGCAGTATTAGAAATGTCAAATTGACAAGTGCCATTATTTTTTCATATTACATTCATATTGTAATAAACTGACCAAATCCTATGTATTTCTTACATGCTTTAACCTAACCTTACCTATCCACACAAAGTAACCTAATTCAGAAGTATTAAAAATGTCGAATTGACAAGTGACATTATTTTTTCATATTACATTCATATTGTATAAACTGACCAAATCCTATGTATTTCTTACATGACTTAACCTAACCTTACTTATTGACACAACCTAATTCAGCAGTATTGGAAAGGGTCAAATTGACAAGTGACATTATTTTTTCATATTACAATCATATGGTAATAAACTGACCAAATCCTATGTATTTTTTATATGACTTAACCTAACCTTACCTATTGACACAACCTAACCTAATTCAGCAGTATTGGAAAGGTCAAATCGAGAAGTGACATTATTTTTTCATATTACATTCATATTGTAATAAACTGACCAAATCCTATGTATTTCTTACATGCCTTAACCTAACCTTACCTATCTACACAACCTAACCTAATTCAGAAGTATTAAAAATGTCAAATTGACAAGTGCCATTATTTTTTCATATTACATACATATTGTATAAACTAACCAAATCCTATGTATTTCTTACATGACTTAACCTAACCTTACTTATTGACACAACCTAATTCAGCAGTATTGCAAAGGGTCAAATTGACAAGTGACATTACATTTTCATATTACATTCATATTGTAATAAACTAACCAACTCCTTTGTATTTCTTACATGAATTAACCTAACCTTACCTATCCACACAACCTAACCTAATTCAGCAATATTAGAAATGTCAAATTGACAAGTGCCATTATTTTTTCATATTACATTCATATTGTAATAAACTGACCAAATCCTATGTATTTCTTACATGCTTTAACCTAACCTTACCTATCCACACAAACTAACCTAATTCAGAAGTATTAAAAATGTCAAATTGACAAGTGCCATTATTTTTTCATATTACATACATATTGTATAAACTAACCAAATCCTATGTATTTCTTACATGACTTAACCTAACCTTACTTATTGACACAACCTAATTCAGCAGTATTCATATTATATTCATATTGTAATAAACTGACCAAATCCTATGTGTTTCTTGACTAACCTAACCTTATCTATCCACACAACCTAACCTAATTCAGCAGTATTGGAAAGGTCAAATTGACAAGTTACAGTATTTTTTATATCAAATTCATATTGTAATAAACTGACCAAATTCTACGTATTTCTTACATGACCTAACCTAATCTCATTTAATATAATCGTCAAATTGGCAAGTGATATTACATTTTCATATTACATTCAGTTTGAGTCGCTGAAGTGATAAGACGTGTGTTCGGTGCTCCGTCTTAGGTTTCTCTATATAATTGTGGTAGTCGGTAATCCGGTAAAGTTGAGAATAGTGAGTGAAAACAATCAACATACAACAACAAACAATCGGTGGTAGTGCTGGTAG